GAATAAAATAAATTAGAATCGTCTGCAAAAAGTATAAATGAAAGGACATCGGATGATTTACAAAAGTCATTTATATGAATAATAAACAATAAAGGGCCCAACAAACTTCCCTGCGGTACTCCACAATTTACGTTTTGCATATTGGAAGTATGATCATTCAAGAATACATATTGTCGTCTATTGGATAAGTAACTCCTGAACCACCCCAAGGCCTTCCCACGCACCCCATAATGAGAAAGTTTGAATAATAAGATGTCATGATTGATGGTGTCGAAGGTCTTGAAGAAGTCCAGGAAGATGCCAACCAGGTGAGAAGAATTGTCTAAAGCACGCGCTACTTTGTCAATAAAATTCAATAAGGCATGTTCTGTATTATGTTTTTCTCTAAATCCAAACTGAAAGTTAGAAAAAATACTATGAGTTTTTAAAAAGTAAAGAGTTCTACGATAAACAACTTTTTCTAGAATTTTCGACAAGGAGGATAATAAAGAGATTGGTCGATAATTACTGACATTCAACTTATCACCTTTTTTGTACAGGGGTATGACTTTTGCGATTTTCATATTATCTGGGGCTTGTCCATTAAGTAACGATAGATTAAGAATATGTACTAAAGGATTTACAATTGAAGCTATTACACCTTTTAGAATAAAGTTATTAATGTCGTCATAACCGGGACTCTTTTTGTTTTTCAAATTAGATACAATATTAATGATATCTTCTTTAACTATAGGAGTGAGAAAAATAGAATTGGGGTTGGGTGTGACAAGGTAATCAGAGAAATGTTTGGCTGAAGGAGGAATACCTTCAGCCAAGTTTGTCCCTATAGAGGAAAAAAAGTTGTTGAAAATATTGGCTATGTTTTCAGGATCTTCGACAATATCATCATTATACCTAATTTTAGTTATATCTGATTTGTTATTGGATAAATTCATTGCTTGTTTTAAAATCTTCCATGTGTTTTGAATATCGTTCTTATATAAAGTTAACTGGTTCGTAAAGTTATTGTTTTTTGCTAATCGTATTGTTTTAGTTAAAATATTTTTATAACTGGTGTATCTAGCTCTTGCCTGTTCAGTACCTTTCATTTTACATGTATAGTATAAGTTATTTTTTCTGTTAATTGAACGTAAAAGTGATGTAGAAATCCATGGAAGTCTCGGTGATTTTTTTGTAGGTAGTTCCTTTGTCTTTAACTTTAGGAATGTGAATATCTAATTGATCATGAAATATGTTAAGGAAATTATTAAAAGATACATTTACGTCAATATTATCGTAAACACACGACCAGTCAGCAGAGTCTAAAGATGCGCCAAGAATGGCAATTTTTTCATGGTTAGGTCTGCGTCTTGATGGTCTGTGATGATTAACTAATGAGTGCTTAAGGGTAAAATGTGACTTAATAGGAAAATGATCCGTTATATCAGATAGAATTACAAAAGAGTCTGGGGTAGGAAGAGTATTGCAAAAAACATTATCAATAAGGGTGGCGGAGTGATTTGCCATACGGGTGGGTTTCGATATCAAAGGCAAAAACGAGGAAGTCAAAAATATTTCAAGAAATTCATGGGATATATTGTTGTTATTATGCTTTAAAATATCAATATTAAAATCTCCTATTATGAAAACATCTTTGTTGATAAAAAGTGGATTCTTTAGTAAATCTGTAAGGTACACTATGAAATCATTTAAATTTGAACTTGGAGGTCTATACATAATACCCATGATTATACTTTTAGTATCCGAAACATTGATTTCGATAAAAAGAGACTCCAGTGTTTCGTTCATTACATTAATTTCATTTAAAATTGAATAGTCGTAATTGTGTGAAACGAAAAATGCAACACCCCCGCCGGGTCTATTTTTTTCTATTATTGACAACAAGATCATAACCATCTAATGCTAATGGTAGGTTTGATTCATTGGATAACCAGGTTTCCGTAAGTCCTATTATGGAGAATGACTGTTTGGATGGGTTATCTAATAATAATAACAATTCTTCAAAGTGTTTATTTAAGCTTCTAATGTTTAAATGCTAAAGAGAAAATGGGTCTATAGCAAATTCCTTAACGAGGTTTTTAAATTGGGACTCGGTTACATATTCAGATGAAGGGCTTTGAATTTGGTCATGATCAGGGAAAAAATCTAAAATTTCTGTCGATGAGTTTATATTATTTGCTACAAACTGGTTATACGCTATATTAGTTGAAATATAATCATTCGCGAGATTTGTTGATGAAGGGTTAAATGAATGAAAAAGGTCATCATCATTTGAAGAATATAATGGCATATCAGCTAACTGGGCCATTGAAGTACAGTCAATATCTCAATATAACATTGCATTTTCGGTTTTGGGTTTGTAGCAATATATAAGCAATCAATTGGGCGATAGAAGCGTGCGTCCTGCATGGATACACAGAAAAAACAGTTTTACATGTGGGCAAGTACAGAAACATAAACACGTGAATACAGAGAACAGAACAATGACAACATACAACGGAGAAGGGGTTGCAAGAAGGACTTGACACAAAGAGAGAAAGAAAAGATACATGTAGGTACAAGTAGAGACTACATTCCACAGAAGTCCTCGTAGGCAGAGCTAACGAACGAGCCAATGAACAATAGGGACTTTTAGATTCGCACGAAGACAATAGGTCTATGCTACGATCGACATCCTGTTAATGCACTGCCGTGAATGGACGTCACACGTATCAGTCCACGCAAATCCAAAAGTCCCTAATAACAAATGTGGAGCATCTAAGCATGATCCTAGCATGATCCTGGCGAGATGCCCAGTATAACTAATAATATTATAGGAAATACACTCAATGTAAATAGATGCGCTCATTGTAATACAAAAAAGGAAACCATGCGATAATAAAAGTTTAACTATAAATTGAGAATTCAAATATAAAGATATAAAGAGGTGAAAGCATGCAAGCAAAACATTACACATTGAAGAATAAAAAAGGAGAACAAAATATGAAAAGGTGAATGCATGCAACAACAACAAAAAATGTAACATCTAGTACATTCAGCTTAATAGACAATCAAACAAGAAAAGGTAGAAGCATGCAACACAATTTACCATCGAGTAAGTTCGGCTTAATTGAGAATCAAAAAAGAAAGAAAAGGTGAATGCATGCCAGACAATCCAACATCGAGTACCTTTAGCTTAATTGAAAATCAAAACCAAAAAAAAAAAGAAAGGGTGAAAGCATGCAAGACAATTTAAGTTCAGCTTAAATGACAATTTAAAAAAAAAAGAAAAGAAGAAGGTAAATGCATGCAAGACAATTCAACATCGAGTACGTTATGCTTAATTGAGAATCAAAAAAGAAAAAGAAATAAAGAGTGAATGCTTGCAAGACAATTCAACATTGAGTACTTTGAGCTTAATTGAGAATTTAAAAAAAGAAAAGGTGAAAGCATGCAGGAGAATTCAATAACGAGTATGTTTGGCTTAATTGAGAATATAAATTTATATTAAAAAAAAGCATGCAAGACGATTTCACATAGAGTGCAGGCGCGTACGCAAGGGGGGGGGGTTTGGGGTTAAACCCCCCCTTGAGTTTTTTTTTTATGGTTATGTTTTGTGTATGATTTTTGTGAAAAACCCCCATTTTTTTATTATTTTTTTTTGTTAAAAAAAAAAAAAAAAATTATGCCAATGGCTGACCAAAAAAAAATGTCCTCTTACCCCCCCTCCCACTGAGCGACTTTTCAGCTGGCTTAATCGGTGCGGATTTTTTTTGGACTCCCCCCCCCCCCCCAAAAAAAAAAAAAAAAAAAGTGTCCTCTTACCCCCCCCCCCCCCCCCCCCCCCCCCCCCCCCCTCCACTGAGCGACTTTTCGGCTGGCTGAGTCGTTGCGATTTTTTTTTGGACTCCCCCCCCCCCCCCCCCCACTGAGCGACTTTTTGGCCGGCGCGATTTTCAAATTTTCCTGAGTCTTTGCAAAATTTTGGGCCCGATTTTAAACCCCCCCCCCCCTTGAAAAAATCCTGCGTACGCCACTGACACTATGAACACGACGGACAAAGAAAGAGGACAAAATATACAGCTCCTCAGGCAGACAAAGGAACATCTCCCCACCGCCACCATGTACACATTTGTAGAACAGGTGTCACATCACTATGAACATGACAGACAATGAAAGCGGACAAAATATACAGTTCCTCAGGTAGACAAAGGGACATCCCTTCACTGCTATTGTGTAAAAATGTGTAGAACAGGTGTCACATCCATATTCACCTGTTCTACACATGTTTACATAATAGCAGTGAAGGGATGTTCCTTTGTCTACCTGAGGAACTGTATATTTTGTCCGCTTTCATTGTCTGTCATGTTCATAGTGCATGCATATTCACCCGTTTCACCCACTCCCACACAACAGCAGCGAAGGGACGCTCCCCCGTCCACCCGAGGAACCGCATACCCCCCCCCCCCCCCCCGTCCGCCATGTTCATAGTGGTAGTCTTAATAACTGAGAATTTACATATGAAATGATGAGAGCATGTTTAAGAGAATTTAACATTTAAACAGTGTAATTTGAGAATTTACAAATGTAAAGGTGAAGTCATGCAACAAAACTCACATTGAATACGTCTTACCTCATTCCAGATTTCTACTGAAGTGGGTATCCCTTGTAGGGAAGAAAATAGCTGAAGATTATAGAAAGGACTTTGAGGAATGCGTTACCCATTAAAACATGGTGAACACCATTTCCCTGTGGCGGAGCCCCTTTTGTAATCAATTAAATATTTATATTTCTTGATACTTTTAATTGATAAAGAAGGTTTCTTGTCGAAAGCGTATAAATATATAAGTATCGATATCATATAAAAAAAAATAATACCGATAATTATTGCACTGATCAGTCTCGTGTGAGGTATCTCGACCGTGGCGAGGCGGGCACTAGCACGGAGAAACCAGGAAATGATTATGATTCCTAGTACACGTAGTTTTAACAGAATAGCGACGACGGATCATATTGGAACCAGCAGTTGCTACTAGTACAACTCGATCGTGATAAATGTGGGCATGTTTTTCCTGGATTTACTTGCTTCAATGTCTGCCTTGTTTCTATGATTTATATTACTGTGGGAATGTGGACTAGTTTATGTTTTATGTAGATCGCGGACTTGTCCGATTATGCAAATTAGTTCGCTACGCGTGTTGCACATGATTTTGCGGATGAATGATTTATTGTGTGATACGCCGCCCATGTTAATGTGTTAACATACATGTTAGTATTGAATCACATTCATGTCACGTTCAATTGCGGAGAGGACGTTGCTGTGCCTGTAGCTGTGTATTACAGAGTCACGCAGTTTCCTTGTTTTAGCGAGGGTTTTGGTTCAACTGTTTGGCAGTATTTTCGAGTAAGTTATGCTTATTGAAATAGATATTTGGTTTAATCCTGTATCATAGTGAGTGATAATGCATAGTTTGAGGTGGATATAGATGTCTGTTTGAAGTAATTATGATGATAAGAATGCCTGTTTATGATGTTGAACAGAAGTTTTGGTTAGGGCATTAATTTGGTCATATTACGCTGTTTATAGAAAAAATGTCAGAGACATTTGTGCTAAAATTGTTTTATGCAACATTTTCTTTCGTCATATTTTGGAAAAGATATTTTGAGGGATTGCAAAGATAATTTAAAGATTAATTTTCCCATTTTGTATTTCGCACACATGTGAAGTAAAAATGTATCTTGACGTTGAGGGCAGTAAGATGTAAATAAGCTAGCAAGATGGCGGCGCCCATAGTTGATTCCTAGATGTGAGTTGAAGATAGTTTTATACACCTTGGGTGTATGATATGAAAAATATTGTCGATATTTTCCCGTGGTGTTTATGTCTAGCTATTTACTATTAGCTGTAGATGATATGAGAATTTACATTAGTGTGATTTAGAGAGCAAATACTTGTAACTGTTATTGTTGTTACATTATTTTAGGGGCAAGATCAGATGACTTGCATGTTGCAGTTTCTGTTGCTGAGCTGAGCTGAGTTGAATGCTGGTAGCTTCTTGGTGTCTCCCTTTTCCCCTTCACTTCCTTTTCCACTGTAGTTGAGAGCTTCAGTGGTTTATTGCTGAAGACTTTGGGTACGTTTTAATGATATTCTGGTAAAGTTTGCAACAGATTTTGTGTAACTTCACTCAGTCTAATATTGCAGTGTTTAACAATTTATATGTATATTGATATTATGGGACAATTTTATATTTGTTCCATCGTATTATGAATACTTACAGATAAATGCATGTATTTCTTGTTTATCTGATGCAAGTATGATGCTCTGAATGATAGATTTATATTACTGTTTGATGAGATTCTTCACAGCTGATTTGATGTTTAGATTTAATTATGTCATTCCAGTTAATGATTATAATATTTGATTTCAGTGATTATACAACAGAATCAAGCTGAAACATATTTGATTTGAAGATAAAGTTGTAATTACTTTATATGATATTTAATCAAGAGGATAACAATATCTCTCTTTAGTAATTACTTTGATTTATTTCATTGATATAATCATGTATTTGTGAAGATGACATTTGTAATTGTTTGAAATACTAAAACATGTTTTGTTTTATTATTCTGCCAATTGCAGGGTTTTTTCCCGTTTTTGCGTGCATGAATCACCGAGAATCAACGGTTTGTGAATTAAAGCACCGGTTACGCTAACGCACGTTTCCCGAGTTTCATTTATCGTCTCACACGTACTACGACATTACCCCTCTCTTGGAATCGCTAAACATTTCTTGTCTACTAGCCTCGTTCACAATCAGAGGCGTTTCTTCTTTTTCTTCTTCCTTTTGAGTACATACCTCTTTACAGAGTATTATCGTACTATACTGGGGTGTGTGCAGGTGGACCACTACACCGGGGTTTACCCCTACTCTTATACGCGGTAAGTTATTGAATGGAATGATAATGTTGATTTTTTTCCCGCCCCTTATTATTGTTCGTTCTATTATTTTCATTTAATTATACCCAGCACCTGATTGCATGTTCCTTTTGATTAACATATTTGGGGAGCGAATTATAAATCACTATGAACATGACTGACAAAGAAAGCGGACAATATATACAGTTCCTCAGGTAGACAAAGGAACATCGATCCCTTCACTGCTATTATGTAAAAATGTGTAGAACAGGTGTCACATGCATATTCAGGGGAGGCTGGCAGACAAAAAAAATCCGCATCACCCGACTCTTACATGCAGGCCCCTGTATGATGTGTCTCAATTTAGTGTTTCTGTGTTTCTGAGTGGTCTAGGCACCGTGCGTTACAAAATTAAAAGATCACTGCGCACGCACGCCGAGTAGCCGAGAAGCCTGTTTCAAATCGAGCATAGCTAGTTTCCATGCGATCGAAACCGGGCTGACCAGATTAAACTTTAAAAAAGCAGAAACACGAAGTTGCAAATCATCCAGAGACTCCTAATAAATTGCGTTACTGATTATTAATTATATCATTACAGATCTTTATCCTCAGTTTTCTTATGTATAATTGATTTTCTTATAAAATTAAAGATATGGCGTATACTGAATGAACGCCATTAAACTATTACCTACAACAACAACATGCAGGCCCCGCTGAACGTTTTTCAAAGTGGGTGGGGGGGGGGGGGGGGGGGGGGGGGGAGGCTAAAGTATTTACGATCAGGTAGAGTATAGTGTAAATTGGCGTGGGGTCTAGGCGCAAAGCCCCGGCAGGGGTCAAGAGTCCCCGGAAGCTCAGGGGGTATGGGCATTTAATTACGGTCAGATGAGCATATTTTGATACCTTATTCATGACACTGGCTGGTCACTAATTGGCGTGGGGTCTAGGGAGCTGAGCTCCCTGTAACTCAGGGATTTGAGGCATTTTATAACGGTCATTGAGCATTCAGGGGCCCGCCTTAGGCCCCCTGCTGGGGTCGAGTGGGCGGAGCCCCCGGAAGCTCAGGGGTTTTAAGCATTTAATTACGGTCAGATGAACATATTTTGATACCTTATTCGTGACACTGGCAGGACACTAATTGGCGTGGGGTCCAAGGGGCGGAGCCCCCAGAAGCTCAGGGTTTTTTTGTTTTGTTTTGTTTTTGTTTTTGTTTTTGTTTTTGTTTTTGTTTTTGTTTTTGTTTTTTTTTTTGGGGGGGGGGGGGCATTTTATAACGGTCAGATGAGCATATTTGTATACCTTATTCATGACACTGGCAGGTCACTAATTGGCGTGGGGTCCAGTTGCGGAGCCCCCGGAAGCTTAGGGGATTTAGGCATTTAATCACGGTCAGATGAGCATATTTTGATACCTCATTATTTTGTGACACTTGCAGGTCACTATTCTTTTTTTCTTTCTTTCTTTCTATTTCTCTTTAGTATACTTTTTTCTAAATAATTGGGGGCGGAGCTCGAGGCCCCGGAGCCCCGTCGTTCTGCGGGCCCTGCCATGTAGGCCTCTAAATAAGCATATTTCTTGCCTGACTGTAAATTTAGGAATTTTTAATTTTCCAACAAACGCATAAAAAAGTATAATTTATTAAAAAGTGAGGAAAAATCTCGGAAAATTATGTCATTTCAGCAACATTTGTAAATTACTGGTATCGAATTAGAAATGAACCACGTTTGAATTTAATTGTGACAAAGGCAGGTCACTATTCTTTCTTTCTTTATTCAGGAATTTGCCATTTCCCAACAAACGCATAAAAAATGTATAATTTACTAAAGATTGAGGAAAGATCTCGGAATATTATGTCATTTCATCAACATTTGTAAATCACCTGTATCGAATTAGAAATAAACCACGTTTGAATTGTATTTGGGGGGTATCTGCCCCCCCCCCTCCAGCCCCCTCCCCCCATCAATACGCCATTGCCCCCCGATCTATACCGTTTAAAGTCGTTTAAAGGTTGCACGTTCTGAATTCGAGCATATGCAGGAACTTGGAATTATCAGACCTTCATCCAGCAATTGGTCCTCACCTCTCCACATGGTCCCGAAATCTACACCAGGTGACTGGCGGCCATGTGGAGATTATCGCGTTTTGAACACTCGGACTGTACCAGATCGTTACCCAGTCCCACATATTCAGGATTTCACTGCATCATTGGCGGGTAAGAAGATCTTTTCGAAAATAGATCTTGTGAAGGCCTACCATCAGATTCCCGTGGAACCAGCTGATATACCGAAGACGGCGATTACTACACCCTTCGGACTCTTCGAGTTTACACGTATGCCATTCGGACTTCGAAATGCGGCCCAGTCTTTCCAGCGCTTGATGAATGAGATAGTTAGGGGTTTGCCTTTCATCTTTGTGTATATAGATGACATACTAGTCGCCAGTGCATCCGAGAAGGAGCATGAAGAGCATCTTCGACTTCTCTTCACTCGTCTTCACGACTTTGGGATGGTGATCAATCCGGCTAAGTGTGTGTTTGGTGTGAACTCCCTTATCTTCTTAGGACACCACATCGACGCAGAAGGTATTCGACCCCTCGAGGAGCGTGTGAAGGAGATTCGTGAGTTTACTCGTCCTTCTTCTCTTCGCCAGCTCCGTGGTTTCTTGGGACTCGTCAACTTCTATAGGCGTTTCATATCCCTCATTGCTCGGATTTGCTCCAGCCTTTGACTGACATTCTGAGAAATCAGAAACGTAAGAACCAGCCAATTTCACTTGATGATACTGCTTTTGCTGCATTCAACAGGGAGAAAGAGGTATTGGCTGATTCTACACTTCTCGTCCATCAGCAACTTGATGCCCCATTGTCCTTGGTGGTCGACGCCTCTGATTTCGGCGTTGGTGGAGTAGTACAGCAGCATGTTGATAACCAATGGCAACCTATGGCGTTCTTCTCCAAACGATTCCAACCAGCTGAGACGAAGTATAGTACGTTTTCCAGAGAACTCTTAGCTGCTTATTTAGGCATCAAGCATTTCCGCCATCTAAAGTATTTACGATCAGGTAGAGTATAGTGTAAATTGGCGTGGGGTCTAGGCGCAAAGCCCCGGCAGGGGTCAAGAGTCCCCGGAAGCTCAGGGGGTATGGGCATTTAATTACGGTCAGATGAGCATATTTTGATACCTTATTCATGACACTGGCTGGTCACTAATTGGCGTGGGGTCTAGGGAGCTGAGCTCCCTGTAACTCAGGGATTTGAGGCATTTTATAACGGTCATTGAGCATTCAGGGGCCCGCCTTAGGCCCCCTGCTGGGGTCGAGTGGGCGGAGCCCCCGGAAGCTCAGGGGTTTTAAGCATTTAATTACGGTCAGATGAACATATTTTGATACCTTATTCGTGACACTGGCAGGACACTAATTGGCGTGGGGTCCAAGGGGCGGAGCCCCCAGAAGCTCAGGGTTTTTTTGTTTTGTTTTGTTTTTTTTTTTTTTTTTTTTTTTTTTTGTTTTTTTTTGTTTTTTTTTTTGTTTTTTTGGGGGGGCATTTTATAACGGTCAGATGAGCATATTTGTATACCTTATTCATGACACTGGCAGGTCACTAATTGGCGTGGGGTCCAGTTGCGGAGCCCCCGGAAGCTTAGGGGATTTAGGCATTTAATCACGGTCAGATGAGCATATTTTGATACCTCATTATTTTGTGACACTTGCAGGTCACTATTCTTTTTTTCTTTCTTTCTTTCTATTTCTCTTTAGTATACTTTTTTCTAAATAATTGGGGGCGGAGCTCGAGGCCCCGGAGCCCCGTCGTTCTGCGGGCCCTGCCATGTAGGCCTCTAAATAAGCATATTTCTTGCCTGACTGTAAATTTAGGAATTTTTAATTTTCCAACAAACGCATAAAAAAGTATAATTTATTAAAAAGTGAGGAAAAATCTCGGAAAATTATGTCATTTCAGCAACATTTGTAAATTACTGGTATCGAATTAGAAATGAACCACGTTTGAATTTAATTGTGACAAAGGCAGGTCACTATTTTTTCTTTCTTTATTCAGGAATTTGCCATTTCCCAACAAACGCATAAAAAATGTATAATTTACTAAAGATTGAGGAAAGATCTCGGAAAATTATGTCATTTCATCAACATTTGTAAATCACCGGTATCGAATTAGAAATAAACCACGTTTGAATTGTATTTGGGGGGTATCTGCCCCCCCTCCAGCCCCCTCCCCCCATCAATACGCCATTGCCCCCCCGATCTATACCGTTTAAAGTCGTTTAAAGGTTGCACGTTCTGAATTCGAGCATATGCAGGAACTTGGAATTATCAGACCTTCATCCAGCAATTGGTCCTCACCTCTCCACATGGTCCCGAAATCTACACCAGGTGACTGGCGGCCATGTGGAGATTATCGCGTTTTGAACACTCGGACTGTACCAGATCGTTACCCAGTCCCACATATTCAGGATTTCACTGCATCATTGGCGGGTAAGAAGATCTTTTCGAAAATAGATCTTGTGAAGGCCTACCATCAGATTCCCGTGGAACCAGCTGATATACCGAAGACGGCGATTACTACACCCTTCGGACTCTTCGAGTTTACACGTATGCCATTCGGACTTCGAAATGCGGCCCAGTCTTTCCAGCGCTTGATGAATGAGATAGTTAGGGGTTTGCCTTTCATCTTTGTGTATATAGATGACATACTAGTCGCCAGTGCATCCGAGAAGGAGCATGAAGAGCATCTTCGACTTCTCTTCACTCGTCTTCACGACTTTGGGATGGTGATCAATCCGGCTAAGTGTGTGTTTGGTGTGAACTCCCTTATCTTCTTAGGACACCACATCGACGCAGAAGGTATTCGACCCCTCGAGGAGCGTGTGAAGGAGATTCGTGAGTTTACTCGTCCTTCTTCTCTTCGCCAGCTCCGTGGTTTCTTGGGACTCGTCAACTTCTATAGGCGTTTCATATCCCTCATTGCTCGGATTTGCTCCAGCCTTTGACTGACATTCTGAGAAATCAGAAAC